TTTGTTGGTTTAAGAAGTAAAATGTATAGTTATATTAAAGATAATAATAAAGGAGATAAAAAAGCTAAAGGAATTAAGAAAAATATTATTAAGAGCGAAATAAAACATGAAGACTATAAAAAAACACTATTTGAAAAGAAACAAATGCATCATACAATGAAAACTATTAGAAGTGTAAACCATCAACTTGGTAGTTATGAAATTAATAAAGTATCACTCAGCTGTTTTGATGATAAACGGTACATATTAGATGATGGATGTACAAGTTATGCTTATGGCCATTATCTTATCAATTCAAATAACTAAATATTGACAAACAGTTATAATGTGTAGTAAGTATGTAGCGTGGGCCTCTGTTAGAGTAAAATCATACATACCTGCTCCTCATGTTTGACTACATATCACATAACTGTTTGTAATAAGTAATTAGTACAAAACGGTTTACCACATATACATTTTGTAAAATTTTGAGACAAAGCGATATACAAAAAAATACAAAATCCTGAAACAATTAGTAACAAACACTTATATAAAACATTAAATTATTTACATTAAATTATTAAAATGCGCCGACTTACATGTGCTGGTTACATTAAACAACCATTGTTAAAAACATGCACTAAGACACGCGCCTGACAGACAAATAATATAAAAATGCGCCGACTTACATGTGCTGGTTACATTAAACAACTATTGTTAAAAAACATGCACTAAGACACGCGCCTGACAGATAAATAATATAAAAAATGCGCCGACTTACATGTGCTAGTTACATTAAACAACCATTGTTAAAAAACATGCACTAAGGAACACGCGCTTGACAGACAAATTAAAAAACATATAGATTCCATATTTTTTAAAAGAGCATATGTTAAATGTCTGTTGTCCTTCGGACACTACGGGTGCGCTCCTGATTCACTTCGTGAATCACCCGCCGTCGCTGAGGATTCTCGGGGCTCCATCCCCTGCTCAATTTTAGCTACGCTAAAATTTGCGCTGCCGAGCCCCTCCGAAACAATGCTTTGTTAACATTTATTTGTAAAGACTGTTTGTAAAATTTAAACGCACCTATATATTTCAAAAACATATAGATTCTAAATTTTGTAAAGAGCATATGTTATGTCTGTTGTCCTTCGGACTCCAACGAAGCGAGCCCGAAAATTCAAGCTAAAGCTTGAATTTTTTACCCACCTGGGCTCGCACGATTCTCGAAAATCCCATCCCCCTGCTCGATCATAAATTTTTAAACGATAGATTGTAAACTCGAGTTTTTTACCCCCCTTTTGAAAACATGGGCTTTTTTACACTGGTATTAACATGTACTATATACACAGCTTTGAAACAGGTACTTTTTGAGTTGATAATCTCTTTGAAACCATGTACCAAAAATGCGCCGGTACCCCCATGTACTATACTACTGGGCATGTATCTCCCCTTAGCAATGCCACGTCTGAAAACTGCTAATTTGAACCTTCATTTTATTAAATTATAACAGGGATCAAACTCTACAATGTCCTTGGATGGGCATGATAAGCTTTGGGGCTTTCAGAAATCCATGTTTTCTTTGTGCATCTATGGTGGGCTGTATTGGAATTATAATGTTTAAGTAACCATTTTAATATAACATAACCAAATACAACGTGCAGTGCAATAGAACAGAATAAGAATACTAATGAGATAGGATGTCAACAAGACAAAGAACTTAATATAAACATAAGTGTTAGTGCCAAAGTCCATGATCAATTATCCAATCATGTATCACCATTACAGATATAAAGTTCCGGTATCATATTACTCTAATGATACGTTTGTATCCCAATACTCCACTGATCTGATAATAGACTGGATATAGCTTCTACAGGTAGCAAAAGTGAAGCCTAATTATATATGCAAAATTCACTTCCGGTTACCACGGCGAGATACAAATTACTATAGAAATGAACATAATAGCCCAACATAATACTTTTAAGAAAGCCATCACAATAATCAAATAGAGAAGGATTTATTAATTACGTTTCGTCTTTAACTTAAGACATCTTCAGATTAAATTAAATCTGGCAATCTACAGATTAAATTTGGCAATTTAATCTTGACATCTGGCAATCATTACATCTTCAGATTAAATTTGGCAATTTAATCTGAAGATGTCTTAAGTTAAAGACGAAACGTAATTAATAAATCCTTCTCTATTTGATTATTGTGATGGCTTTCTTAAAAGTATTATGTTGGGCTATTATGTTCATTTCTATAGTAATTTGTATCTCGCCGTGGTAACTGGAAGTGAATTTTGCATATATAATTAGGCTTCACTTTTGCTACCTGTAGAAGCTATATCCAGTCTATTATCAGATCAGTGGAGTATTGGGATACAAACGTATCATTAGAGTAATATGATACCGGAACTTTGTCAAGATTAAATTGCCAAATTTAATCTGTAGATTGCCAGATTTAATTTAATCTGAAGATGTCTTAAGTTAAAGACGAAACGTAATTAATAAATCCTTCTCTATTTGATTATTGTGATGGCTTTCTTAAAAGTATTATGTTGGGCTATTATGTTCATATTGAAAATTCGCTTTCCGCCTGGCAAATCTCTGGCCACTATAGAAATGTATGGCGGATAACGTTTACAAACATGGATTTTCGAATATTTAAGACCTTTCGCGACTCCTTACTAACCTCAAGTATTAGTCATGGATAAAACAGGTTATGCGAATCGATTTGACATCAAAATGATTCCGATAGCTGTAAAATATCGACGTTAGTGGTGATTTAAAAGTTGTACATGCGAGAATGTATTTTGTCCCATCGTTGCCAATGCAAGATAGTTCACTGCTCGCTTTCCAATTTCTGAGGCAGTTATGATCTAGTATACGTTTCAGTTCTTTAGAAATGAGGTGAGTTACTTTTTTTATCATTCCTTCTTTATGTTGAGAGATGGTTGACATTTTATTTTTGCTGTAACTTCATTTTTTCATGAGCAAAGTACTGCTGATGCTTAAACAAGACAAGTCTATTTAGTTTCTTTTGCACTTTATCTTTAGTTTCCATTTCTGTAGTTGTTTTTCTCAAATGGTATAGTCGCACTTTGCGCTTAATTATTCAAAGAAGTATGATTTTCATTGACATTAAAATCTAACAAATGCGTTCTACACACATTAAGACACTTTAGTATACTGCTTTTGAAACATCAAGGTAATGTAGCCAGCCAAGTATGAATTTGCAGGCCCTCTTTATAATCATCTCGGTCCTCAGGAGGCTTTAACAACAACCCAACAGCTGAACAATTTACGGCTGCATACAAGAGACTTTTGATGAGAAGCAGTATCCATTGTTGCAATGGCAACTGCACCAGACAAGATGAAACTAAGATATTGGAAGTAATTGGGGACACCTATAAAATGCCAAACAAAGAATCAAGTACGACAATTGATGATGCTGCTCTCATCCGAAAGTATGATTTACAAGGGACAAATCACAACAGAGATGAGGATGAAGATTATAGTGATGCACCAAGCTTTTCCACTGTATCTGAATTTAAAAAGGCGGCAATATCGTACATGGCTGGCTATGTTGCCCAGATGGTGCAAAAGAAAATAAACTGTCCTGTTTGTCATGAAGCAGTCGGTTCAAGAAACTACAAAAAAGAGTCTGCTTTCCTGACTTTAAAAGACAGGGGTAATTTGTTTAAGCTAACAGCAAGTGTAATAGTAATATGCAATGAAACAGAGAGGTGCTTTCAGAGAATGTTGGCAGCTACAGATGGAAATTTACCGCAAGGGAAAGGAATTCCTGATGCTATTGCTTTGTCTGTAGTAAATGGTATAGATTTGAGGACCACATTCAAGGATCTCGATGCACACATGTTGGTTACTACTGTTCACGAAAATAATATTTACTCATTAAGACCATATCTAAATGCTACAGCAAGGTGCGACTATACCATTTGGGAAAAACAACCACAGAAATGGAAACTAAAGATAAAGTGCAAAAGAAACTAAATAGACTTGTCTTGTTTAAGCATCAGTAGTACTTTGCTCATGAAAAAATGAAGTTACAGCAAAAATAAAATGTCAACAATCTCTCAACATAAAGAAAGAATGATAAAAAAAGTAACTCACCTCATTTCTAAAGAGCTGAAACGTATACTAGATCATAAATGCCTCAGAAATTGGAAAGCGAGCAGTGAACTATCTTGCATTGGCAACGATGGGACAAAATACATTCTCGCATGTACAACTTTTAAATCACCACTAACGTCGATATTTTACAGCTATCGGAATCATTTTAATGTCAAATCGATTCGCATAACCTGTTTTATCCATGACTAATACTTGAGGTTAGTAAGGAGTCGCGAAAGGTCTTAAATATTCGAAAATCCATGTTTGTAAACGTTATCCGCCATACATTTCTATAGTAATTTGTATCTCGCCGTGGTAACCGGAAGTGAATTTTGCATATATAATTAGGCTTCACTTTTGCTACGGTTAGCACTATTTTCCACCCAGCAAACCGCCCTTTACTTTGAAATATAATATTTTACACAATATAATATTTTACACAATCTAATATTTTACACAATCTAATATTTTACACAATATAATATTTTATATAATATTTTACACAATCGTCGAAAAACGACATATTTTCCAGCCTGGATTATAAGTTTATAACTTAAGGTGGTTGCATGAAAATTTATACTGCAACATTTATCTGTAAATATTTTCATATGTTGATATTAAAAACTGTATTATAAAAATATAAAATTACTCGCCATCTCAAAACGACCTAGCACCAGTGCATGCATGGTTTCCTTTAAGCTTTTGGTTCTTTCCCATTAGCCGCCATCTTTAATTTATTTCCGATTGTGTAAAGTAAAGGGCGGTTTGCTGGGTGGAAAATAGTGCTAACCTTTTGCTACCTGTAGAAGCTATATCCAGTCTATTATCAGATCAGTGCAATACTCCCACTTAATGATTATACTTAAATCAGTTGAATGTTCATTGTTCTTTAATCTTGATAGCGCCTAACATGTTCCTGAATTTCTGAAAAGTATCTTTACTAAATCCTTTTGTAAATATATCCGCTAGCATATTCTCACTGGAACAATATTTAACAGAAATGATATTCTCGTGAACTTTCTGTCTCACATAGTGGTATGCCACATCTATATGTTTTGTCCGAGAGTGGAATTTCGGATTTCTTGATAGCTCAATAGCTCCTTGGTTGTCTTCATAGATGATAGTAGGCTCTTGTTGTGTTATTGAGATACTATCCAGAAGTTTTCTCAACCAGACTCCTTCTTGGCATGCTGTACTTAAAGATTCATACTCGGCTTTTGTTGTTGATCTTGCAACACATCCCTGTCTTTTGCTGCACCAACTCATGGTATTTCCATTAATTTGATATATGTACCCAGTGGTAGATCGACGTGTCACTATATCTCCACCCCAATCTGCATCTGTATATCCTGACAATATTGGATCATTGCCATCTGTGGTAAAGTGTAGACCATAATCCAATGTACCTTGAATGTAACGTAGGATCCTTTTAACTCCTCTCCAATGCTCTAGTCTTGGTTTTGCCATAAACTTTGATAAAGTTCCAAATGCAACAGCCAAATCGGGTCGACTTATCAATGTAGCATAGTTTAAGCATCCAATTGCCATTTGATATTGCTTCACATCAACTGGATTCTCCCCTTCCCTTAACACTTCATATTTCTTTCCAAATTCAAGTGGTGTTGAGACTGCTTTACAATTTTGCATGTCGAATCTTTTCCTTGTAGAGCAGAACAACTAAACTGATATCAAAGATATTAAAAAATGCTATTAACAACCAATACATCCAAATGCCAAAATCACTGTCTATCAGCCATTTTCAGAGCTATGTCCATGCCTACTTTACAAATTAGACGATTGGAAAAAAATTTTCAGAAATTCAAAATGTTCAGTTTTTAAATGTTGCTGTATCCCCTGCGGAATAACAGTCATTTGGGGGCTGAAATGCGGCTGTCTCATTTTAATACAACACTTGCTGACGTGAAAATAAACATTTCCCTCCTGCTGTCAGAAACTGTGCGATCTTCTCTTTGCATTCTTGAAACGACAACGAGATTGAAAGGTGGATTTCCAATCATACAATTAAGCTTTAAAGTGTGACTGCATCCAAAACAAGAGTGAACTAATGGCGGCCAAAACTGCAGTAGGCTCATGGTAAACAAATTACTACCTGGTATAGCGTTGGGGACAGCTTAAAGTGTGTTCAGGTGTCACAGACCTTGGACTCGTAATATGCATGGAGGTGTTGACTAGACTGTGGATTATGAACTGTTGACTAAAGACTATTGACTATTAGCTATGGACAATTGACTATTGACCCTTTACTACTGACTGTTGGCTATTGACCATTGATATTGCAGTAAAAGTTATTATAATTTCAATCGCAAAGCGCTGTGCAGACTGCATGGCGTTGTGCACCGGCGTTTTTCTTTTGTGTTACCTGTTAGGTTTTGTGATGTAGCCATCTACATCCTTTAGTATAAATTGTATACACCAGTAAATAGAGATATCACAGCTAGATAACTATGCAATCACATTTTATGTTCTACGTCTATTTTTAGAGGCGTAACAAGAACGTTAATTGGGGTGTGTGTGGTATATCAGAGGCGTAGCCAGGGTATTTTGCGCCCAGGGGCAAACTATAAAATTGGCAACCCCTCCTGCGTGTTTAATCGCATTTTATTTACAATAACATTGTATACCTTACTGTATACGGAAAAACAGTTCACCTTTCAATGGACCATTATATTTAAAGAAGAAGCAATACTATACAATTTATTGCATATGACTCATTCAGTCATTGTCAAAGATAATTCATATAGTCTACAATGATTTATTTTTCTTGATTTCACTGTCGAAATTTGTTGTTTCCAATTTTTTTTTCAACGCTAAGAAGAGCAAGATCACTGAGACTATCCTGTCCCATTGATGTACGCAGATATGACAAAATCAGTTTCAATTTGCTGAACGACTGCTAAAAACTTGCAATTGAAACTGCTATTGTTAACAAAATTTGTAGTGAAATTCGCAAATTCGGAAATACATCATCTCCATAAAACACAATAAAACCAAGAAGATCCAAAGGAGTTTCTAGTAGAGCTTCAGTTCGGTTACGGAGCAGCATTCTTCAATGACCAATTTCGATGAAACGTTCGTAGCCATTGATGTCCGTGTTGTAGAAATTTGCAAAATCTGCACAATTTTGACGAATTGCATCCTCATCAGTGCCAGATAGAAGAGTCTTAACGTCCGACAAAAATCCAACTTTGTTGTTCAGGTTTTTAGTCGTGAAAAACGTGTTGACATCTCATGTTGAAGCCGATCAAATTCTCATCATTCTTCATAATGCGCACAATTTCTTCTTCTGATGAAAGTCCTGCATCTCTTGCCAGTTCTCCAGGCATTCTCTTAACACGCTTGATTCTTCTGTCCACCTCAATCCCTCAGGTCGAACATTTTGCTTTGGCGTTTTCTACAGCAGCTTGGCTCAAACCATCACCAAACGTGGCAAGTTCTTGTACCCCGGACATATGTACCCCGGCGTCCCCCTGTAGCTACGCCTCTGGTGTATATTCATATATTCAGTTGTGCCCTACTGATTTATTTTGAAATTCAAATCACGTCCAAAACAAATCAATAGGGCACAACAGAATATATAAATATGCACACTCACCCCCACCCATCCCTCCCCCCAATTAACGTTCTAGTTACGCCTCTGTCTATTTTACAATGGTTTAACTACTTCTATGTTTACAAGGTATTATACATAAAGTTAATAGGTTATGTTTGTTTCTTTACGAAACATGGTTGATTTACAATGACCGAAAATTACTAGGAAGTAGGAAGTAAGAGCTATAAAAAATATTGTCATCATTACACATATGTATATCTCAAAAATAATAACTAATTACTTACACGTGATTTATATATTTACTAATGATGGGAAAATGTGAGAGCATATCATAACATTACTTTAACTTGTCATGCTTAGGATTAATAAGTTTGCATCCGTCAAAGACCGTCGTGGTAAAATTTCGCCGATCAAAAACGTCGTCTGATTCATTCTTCTGACATGGAAACCACTATAAGGCCAAGCTTTGCGTAATAAACAAGGATCTACTCCCTTGGTGTGTCACAAAAAGTATTTTACACGCAGTTAAACTTTTGTGCACAGTCTACAATCCATAGTCCAGTGCAGGTTTTAGAAAATACCAAAAATTATTTTTCAAAATATTGCGTCTAATTACAAAAGTTTGTTGAAACGACAATTGTTTTCTCGTGACCATTAAAGACTCAGATTTTATATATTGTTTGTTTTCTTTCAATTGACTTCACCTGCCGAACACAGCAAAGATCTGTGTGACTGTGTATATATACGCAGTACAATACAGTTGAATATATGGACATATTAATTGTATTTGCCAGTAATTCAACGATCCTCGAGAAAAAAAAGACAGTCAAGCATATGAAGCTTATTTGTGTTATAATGATGATGAACATAGAATAAATAATTTCATAAACTTATAATATTTGTTTCACTCAAGGTTGACAGGCTGTGTTCAACACTCCAGCCACACTAAACACACCGTATTTTATCCCCTCATCCGCATTTTATCTCCTCATCCGCATTTTATCCCCTCATCCGCATTTTATCCCCTCATCCGCGTTTTATCCCCTCATCCGCCATCCGTATCCGCATTTTAAAAAACACTTGAGAAAAACGACGATTTTTTGAAAGCAAACATGTTTCGACATTAACAGAATGCCATCTTCAGTGCAGAATGGTTAGTGTTAAGTAATATGATACGTAATATGATATGAATAAATTAATTACAATGAATAGGATTGTGATTTAGTTTCAAAATTATAAAATATTTACAAAAAAAAGGAAAATCAAAATAAGTATTAAGAACTTATAACAAAAAATGTTATTATAAAGTAAATATAGTGTTGTAGTGGTGAACTTGGATATTTAAATCGGGATTAGTTTTATTAATGTGTAGAGCTTCCTTGATTTTGAGTGAGAAAGTGGATTGATCAGTGTCGATGATTTTAAAACAGGAAGGTGAGAATTTGTTTTTACATGAAGGAGAGGCTTGAAGATATTTGTAGATAGTGGAGTTTTTGTGTGTGTGAGTATGTTCCTTTATCCTGGTAGATAATCGGCGAGAAGTTTCACCAATATAGCGGGAATTACATCCCGCACATGAAAATTGATGTAATTCCCGCTATATTGGTAAAACTCGCCAATTATCTACCAGGATAAAGGAACATACTCACACAGACAAAAACTCCACTATCTACAAACATCTTCAAGCCTCTCCTTCATGTAAAAACAACCTTCAATCATCGACACTGATCTCACTCAAAATCAAGGAAGCTCTACACATTAATAAAACTAATCCCGATTTGAATATCAAAGTTCACCACTACAACACTATATTTACTTTATAATAACATTTTTTGTTATAAGTTCTTAATACTTATTTTTCTTTTCCTTTTTTTTGTAAATATTTTATAATTTTGAAACTAAATCACAATCCTATTCATTGTAATTAATTTATTCATATCATATTACGTATCATATTACTTAACACTAACCATTCTGCACTGAAGATGGCATTCTGATAATGTCGAAACATGTTTGCTTTCAAAAAAATCGTCGTTTTTCTCAAGTGTTTTTTAAAATTGCTGCTAATTAGAAATTATCCGCATTTTATTTTAACCCTGTTTTTATATTAATATTACATACACGCAAGTTTGTGATTTACTAATGACAGGAAGAATTTGAAAGCTTTTACTTGACATTTGATCATCGCTTAGCAATATGAAGAATGAGTTAATAAAATTAATCAACTATATATCGCATGTGTTAACCATTTTGTGGCATTCGCTAACAATAACTTTGCTTATCTTACTAACGTTCAAACCTTACCTTTTACTACATCAGCATATACGTGACTTCCATGCAGGGGCCGCGGAAGTATCTCAAAAGTGGGGGGGCACTGACCGAAAAGGGCACGTGAGTTTGCAGCTTACTGTTTTAGTATATTACAGATATGCATTGTTTCATGAATCATGATTAAGTTTCAAAGTCTGCAAAATATAGGTAGACATTCTTGGAATGCTATGCGTATTCTCTACTGCTCGGCGTGCGTGCTGACAAACTGAACTAAGATGACTACATGAACAATTTTATTAAGTAATGCGATCTCATTAGAATTTCCCAAAAAATCTAACCCTTCGTTCGTTTTTCAGAACAAAGTCTTAGCTATTAAACATAAGTCCAGTTCGTCAGTTCTGGCCTTGTTTACATGCATAACAATAAGATTATTGTAGCTTGCTGCCGTCCTTGTGCTCCTGAGATATGTCTTGACAAGCCGCTGGCATGAAAAAGATCGTTCTCCAGAGGCTGCGCTCATTGGAGCAAGAAGGTAAATCTGCAAGAGTTGGACAATAGGTAAATCTGCGAGATAATTCCTTCATGAAGCTTTAACTCCGCCTTCAGCTGGTCAAAGTCGAAGTCATTTTTCGTGTTCAACTTCAACATTCAACTCAAACTTACGCCCGTTTGCTGCATTAATGAGCACGGCTTCGATGTTCATCAATACAGAATATGTTTTTTGATCGAAGCGCTCCTGTAGTGAAGCCAACCACGCATCAATTGCCTCAACATACTGGGCACGGTCGGCGTCTTTCGCAGTTTGGAAATGATGTTGCTCACCATCTCCGTGTTGAAGTCGCCACGGAACTTTCTTCGGTCTTGGTTGTGTTGGATCGCCTGCAAAGTTGATAGCCTTGTTGAAGCAACTACTTGGTCGTAAAACAAAGATAAGTTGTCTCGTTGACGCTGCAAGTTTGGCTTCAAGGCATTTATGCAAGTAACAGTTCACAAACGAAGACAACCCCAATCGACAAACGCGATTTTTGATCCATCTGGGTAATCAAAATCAAAAACTAAGCTATATCTGATTTCGCATGATGCCGACAGACTTTGGTCTACTCTAGGGGCTACTTGTATCTAAGAAAAACTTCTTCAGTCCAATTTTACCTAAAACAAGGGCATTTCTATACCATGAAAAAGGGCACTTTCATTCCAGAAAAAGGGCACATTTTTCCCTGTTGCAAAAAGTGGGGGGGGCACCTGCCCCCAATGCCCCCCAATTCCGCGGCCTCTGCTTCCATGTGAGATAAATCAATCAGACGGCGTTCTTGATGAAAAAATCGGACAAATGTTACCTTGACGGAAGCAAACTTTATATTACTAGAGGCGGATTTCTACTTATTGAAAACTTTCTATAGAAAGAAATATTTCTCTACAATTGACGGAAAGAGTTCCTGCATCCATTTCCACTGTAGTAATCTATGTTGAAATTTTTCAACTTTCATTTTTCCTGGCATAGAAAAATATTTCCGACCGAAGATAGAGAAACACGACTAGAGCGCATGATCAGCTTAAAGAATTTTCCAAGATAGGAAAGTTTTCAATAAGTGGAAATCCGCCTTAAGCGTTGATCAAATGTCAAGTAAAAGTAATGTTAAGATACGCTCTCAAATTCTTCCTGTCATTAGTAAATAGCAAACTCGAGTATATGTAATATTAATCCTAGCACGGTCTTGATATGCACATAAAAAACATGTGACTTGGACGAGACTTGAACTCGAGTGAATGTAATTTAATGACTATTTTCGAGAGTTAATTGTGTGTAATTGTACTTTTTCCAAATTGTGCTTTTCACTTTACTTTTCTAGATTGTCGTATGGACATTTACAGAATAGTGAAAGTTTATGATGGTAATGCATTTTTGTTCTATACGTATTTGCTATAAAATACTTCATTCAAATCACCTTGAAGAGTATTGTTATTGTAAAAACTCTCATGTATTGGGAAATAAAACACTCAGTTCATCAAAAAAGGACTTTCCAGTCGTGAGAAAGTGTAAGTTATAATCTATCCAGTTTGCAGACTATAAACAGGTAAACTGAGGCTGTAATTTTGATTCGATGCGTAGAAATAAAAGTTGTAGATCAAGTTTGGATGTTTTGGTAGAGTACGGTGTACCGCAAATATAATTCGACAGTTGCATGTTCACAAACTAATGAAAAATATCGTGTATAAAATGCTTCTCTCATAAAGGAAGCGTAACAAACTATAGAGCATTAATTAAAATTCAAAAGATTTTGTTCGTTGAGAGATCATTGTTGTTTTTATAGACTTGAAATTATTATAAACTCTATATGTATAAATTATAACACACTATAAATGGAACTTATATTTATACTTGTTACACGAATGACGACAAGTATATTACCCAGACATGCATAACCTACTCATGCATTTTAGAAGCATTTAATCAAAGCCTTTCACTATACGTTATTAAAAAGATGAGAAGTCCACAAAACATAACGTAAGAAAACGACGTTTGAAACGGCTAATCCGAATTTTATTCTGTTTGTGGGAAATCCGCATTCTATTCTTTTTGTCCGTCCGTCCGTCCGCTTTACAATAACAATACTCTTCAAGGTGATTTGAATGAAGTATTTAATAGCAAATACGTATAGAACAAAAATGCATTACCATCATAAACTCTCACAACTCTGTAAATGTCCATACAACAATCTAAAAAAAATCCAAACGCGTTTGCAATTTACACCAGCACATGATTATAGCTAAGTATATGTGTTATTTTTTAATGAAAGCATAAAACAGAAGGATGTTTTGATGATGTGTGCTTTATAAAGAAGATCATAATAGCGGACAACTTTGGCCTTCTTGTGGCTTTCAAAGCATTAATAAGCGAGTAGCTAAAAATTTCTTTTTTTTCAAGTTATAGCGAGAGCTCATTAAGTATTAAACTACTAATTATCTAAGAAGTCTACTAAGAGAAAGTCGGCATTACAGATAAGAGCTCCATTTTTATTAAAAACACAGTCACGATGTTAGGGGTTGTATTAAACGAAACCTCAAGTAGCAGTGGTTGTATGAAATTATATCACACGCAGAACATCTACATTACAACTACGACAGAACAACTACGACATTACGTTCTTCGTCCACATTGATATCGTCTGTCACTCAACAGATTAGTTGATTTCATCTATAAGCATAAAAACTAATCTACTCTTCTTATACACATGTAAGATTGTGATAAACACATAGTCATACATGGTCATTAGATTTATTGCATGGCTTATCTATACGAGTCGTCTGACTTCAATGCTGTTGTTTTTCTTTTATAACCCGTAAATAAATATAGGATGAGAAAAAAGTACATGGCTTATTCAATGCTTAGTTATAGGCATTTGAGAAAATCAGAATTTTACAACGTTTTTGCAAGAAACGCTGTACCCTGGTTATGTTATAGACGATATTCTAACTTAAACTTAGGCTATGTTAAATTCCATATATCTATATATCAAGATTATTATACAAGCTATTGTGTAATTTACTCCTGTCCTAGCTCATGTGTTTTTGTGCATTGCTCATATCATTCATTTGGTACACAAGATTCAAGGGGTCAAAAAAATACTATCGCTTTCTCAAAAATTTAGCATGAACATTTTTACTGATCAGAACGTACAGCAACAGGCAAATTTCAAGCGATCGTCATGCATAATGAATGTGTAAGGTCGACTTTGAGCAGAATGTTGATCATTTATCCCCAGGTAACTGTCGCGTTAATTGTACGCTTTATTTATCAATTAAGGCAATTTTTTACTAGCTGCAATCAATCTAAATTTCATGAGAAAACACAGCTGAGGGTTAAAGACTGAGAACAGATGGGAAAATTTCAAGAGAATTATATGACGTACAAATAAGAGGATCGAAGAAAAATTTTAACATGCATGAGTTGTTGCCAAAATTGGAAACCGTAAATTTTTTAGCAAATGACGACAGCAGTGTTCAAATAATTAATGTAAATAAGACTTCTTCCATGAGCAACCTTGCAGTTGTAGACTTGCAGTTAAGACAATAATATGGATTTTGTAATGTGCACATACTTTCGACTTTCGACTTTGACCTTTTCTACTTTAAATCACAAATTACGAGCGGCTATAAATAGTATTATTTATCCAAACATTACCCCCCATGTGATCACAGTTAGAGCAAAGCTTTATGCATTGGTTTTAAAATAATTAAATTTATGTATTTTATTAACTGGAGAAGCACGTTCAACAAAATCATATCTGTAACTAACCTCCTTGTGTAAACAGACACAAAGAATTATTACAAATGGGCCACTAAATGGAAAATGTTGAGTCCTGCTAAATAAAACTCACAATTACAAAACAGATTCCGCATTTTCTATCATTCCAACTCACTTTTGCAGGGAGTAAATTGATCAAAAGATGAACGCTGATTCTAGATAGCTCTAATTTACCATTTGTTTTGCATTTATTCTAATTCTATCCTATGATTCAATTAATTTTGTTGTTTTTCGTCCGTTTGGCATTGTCTTTTCGAATTGTGCGAGCAGTTTGAGCTTAGCGTATCTTGTAGCAAGAAAAAATATTTTTTTACAATGGAAACTTCCTAAATTTCCCCTCCCCTGCAAGCTGAACTAAACGACATTTTTAATATCATGGAATGGCCTTAGCTCGTGGGCTTGCGATGCACGTCAAACCACAAATTTGCACTAACCCTTAAATCCCAACATTTCGAACGGGTATATATGAAGCAACATTTTTCATTGCTCCACTTTGACCAAACACCAGCCTCACATTCACATAATTAAGAGCATAGTTTGTGTGAATAGAAAACGTGCACATCTTAAATGAAACGAGACCGCAAATATTATGCAACGTCAACAAAAATATCAATGGGGGTCTTACAGATAGATTTAGATCGTGACTTTCAGACATCATTCCGTTGTCATCGAGATAAGTCAACTAGAGGACTGTGTTTTCATGCACAGTTTGTTAACGTCTTTGCCATTAAAATATAAACTCTCACGAAATCCTGATTTATGTGTGCACGTACATAAAAACGCTTTGATTGAATCAATGCCAGGCAGTGTTTTTCACACTGGACATTATGATAAAGGGAATGTTTGTGCTTATTTATAATCTCAATGTGCAAAAGCTCGGAAATATCTTAAAAACCTTAATAAAATCACGAATCAAAGTTTAAATATGTAGAAAAATATGGCTCTTTCCGAACACTCGTAAAGCCATCTGTTATGTACAAAACATTAATTCATGGAAAAAATGCGTTTAACTTTACAAACAATATTTATTTGCGGTCTCGAGCTCATTGAGATTTCTTTACATTCGATCACGGGATAGGAAATCATGGCTGTTGGAGACTTTTAAAGGATATATGCAAAAAAAAACAACAATCAAGGTTGTGTAATCAATACGTTTTGCAATTCATTTATGAGAATCTTAAAGTAGGTATGTCGCGAAAATATTCATTCTGTGTACAAATAATAATCAAAAAGGCGAACTTTAATGAATCTGGAAGATAAAAAATACATGCAACGTTACTGGTATATACTGGTTTTTAAATAATGCTAATTCTTGGCGAAATTCCCGCAATCAAAATAAAAAACAGCAGTATACATGTGTTTATTTATCTTCATAGCAATCAACACATGCCATTGCTAGATTAATATCAGCAGTTTTAACATCAATTTACGACAACATAGGAGGTTTAGTAATTCCACTTCTCATTGGCTGTTCATACGGCATACGTCATGAGTAACCTGCGTGTTTTAAGTTCGAAGACGAAAGGAACGCGTGCCAAAATAGATGTACTGTAGAATGAGAAAGAATTCCGATCTCAAATTATCGTTTAAAGTGTACCAAAAAATACTATTGGATATATGAAAATGAAATCATTGAACCTTGTTCTGTTGTTTATTGGAGTTACCTTAATAAGCGGAAGCAGTATGCCGACAAACGCTACTAATTCAAAATTCCCAACACACAAGAATAACAGTGATTTGGCAAATGGAACAAACATATCAACGACATCAAAGGTAAGCGCACATGAAAATATGTAGAAAAAATTGAAGTATGGGCAGATTAGCAAAAACAACGAGTTTTTGATAAAATATTTTAGTCAATAAACAAATCTCTCGTGGAGGTAATTTAGCCCATGCAGTTGTGATATACATCTGCGTACCATTACCCGAGTTTTTGGACAATCACTTTTCAAACACAAAAGAAACCTCGCTAACTCGACAAAATATATACGTGTATCAAAATATATGTAACCATATAAGTGGCTAGTATAACCTCATGGTGTATTTCGCCGAGTGTAAATGCAATACTTAAATATATTATTTTTATCATTAATATGAGTTAAATTGAATAGTTATAGTTCCATTTTATCTAATTTTTTGCAGTGTAGTTATGTGTTACAAGTATCTTAAATTTTCAACTTCTTTTGTCTAAATTAAATAACGAGAAAGAAAGAGACTCAAACGAAAACATTTATTATTTTTTTATAACTGACACTAAAGTTGTTTGCAGCGACATTCATGACAACTAACGAATGTGAATGAGCAGGGTACAATTAGCTATACATTTCAAGGAATCAAATTGACTACATTAACTGTATAACTAATATGATAACATGGTTGCCTCGGGATCTTTTGTTATCACTGCGACGTTTACTGACGTATTTCCTTCAATTATAGGGTTGGGGATACTTCAAAATATCGCTCATCAATATATTCATTAGGGATGTTTGGACTGAATATCCTTCATCAATAATAGAACAATACGTCTTGTTTTCACATTTTATTCTCATCATGTGAAAGTGCGTCAGGTTGCATTTTTACTTTTCCATGGCTGAATAATTTTTAATTCTGCGGAATGAACTAGCAACAGCGTTTTGGAAAGAGCGTCATCATCAGAATTAAGATGAAAAACAATTGATAAAATACGAAAATTTGGAAGCAGTTTTTCCACACAAACTCGTCAAACCGTACAATCTCCACATTGAATAGATAATAGAAGCAGTTTATCAGATAGTGACCTTGCTTTCATTGAGGTTTTGGAACGGCAAAAACCCTCCACTACCTCTGAGATTAACCATGTTGTTCTAGAAGTAGACCATTTTCCATGCAGAGGCACATCGACAACTGCATCCAGCAATGCAGTTCAAAACGGATTGGTTAAAGCAATTATAGATTTACTTACAAAACATGTAAACACTTAGCCCGAGAAATGCTTACAGAACTTTGTACATACACACTGTAAATACTTTGATAAATGCTTTGTATAATTAACAAGAAAAGGCAAAAGATGACTCCCTTTGCTTCCTAGGAGAAATAATTTAAGTGTTACATTTCTTTAAAAAATCAAGGATGATTGCACACCACCAATAGTAAGCAGCCTACTGCTTGTGACACAAACTTTACTCAGAAAGCTAAATATGTAAACCAGAAAAGAAATAAAATTATAAGTGCCTTTGGAAAAAAAAGCATAACGAAAACATCCGTACCCTTTCGTCTAATGTGTTATGTCAAAACAAATATAAATTACATAACTATAATTAGCTGAACAAACATACGTCAAATTTCCTGGTTTTTTAAAGAACAAAGGACGATTATGTCACAATTTGCAAAAGAACATGTAGAGTAGTAAATATAGGCAACTTTGATTTATGTAGATTTAGAGATATTTGATTAGCACGAAATTTCCCCTTAGGTATATTGACAGAAATGTTATGTTGCATACTTAGCAACATACCGCTATATGTCCATGGAACGTCATAACGAAAGTGAAAAACATTTCCGTTGAACGCTCAACTTCAATGAGATGCATTTCATTTTCCACTGTACGTGACATTTGGAAACTGATTACTAAATCGCTATGTAAGAAAGAAATTGATTGGTTTTAGGAATACATTACGCAACAACACATTCATTGTTATTTTTGTTTTCTAAAGGGCAGTTCTCTTCTATCAAGACAACAACGAAAGAATCTTGTCATCATTATTATCTCGGTTGCCGTGATCGGAGCTCCACTTAACTTAGCGGTTATTCTTGCTATAGTATTTGACCCATTAAGGATCTTGCGCAAAGGACCGTGGATAACAATCTTAAACCTAGCTATCGCTGATTTTCTTTCGTGCGTTACTTGTTTTTTCCAATGGCTGGATTACCACGAGTTTACCATCATCAATTTTACAGGCAGCGAGAGATTACTTTACGAGGACATTGTTCAATTTGGTTGGTCATTCAGTAATGGTGCATCTTTCTTATTCCTGACTTTCTTTTCTATGCAGATCTTTGTGCTTACAAAACACCCACTGAAAAGTCGTTTTATGTTTACAACACCCAAGGTTCTGTCAGCCTGTATCGGGTTATGGTTGTTCTCGATCCCTGTTGGTTTTTGTTATTTAATACACAGATTTCCGCCCTTCGATAAAAACTTCAGAAAGTTTTGGGTGGCGCGCATAGCTTTTTTGCATTTCCTCACGCTCGTTCAGCTTATCTTGAACATCCAAGTTACCACTCAGATTATTCGCAGCGGCCGAAACACAAAAGATGCTTGCAGACACAATAACAAACACAGAAATATGGCGAAAACTGTGGTCATTCTAACCGCAATTCTCTTTATTACCACGTTTCCTTTTTTGACACTACGACAAATTGAATTTGTTCTCAGAATGAATAACACTAAAATAGGCAATCTTGATGAAGTTGCTTATTTGCTTTATCCGCTTTTACTAATGAATTTTGTCGCGAATCCCATCTTGTACTCGTTAAGATTAACAGACTATAGACGCACATTTTTAGCATTCCTTGGAAAGATTCGAGGTAAAAACGTCCATATCCCAAAAACAACAGCTAACACATCATTTAAGCTTACTCAAACATCGTCAATAAACTCGGATATCTCTCAGTCAGGCAAAACAAAGCATATGTTGACGGAAAGATTGCCTCTTCATCACACAAGCCGTTTCTAAATTTTAAAATGTAAAATACAACTACATAGCGCACATCAATTAGCATTATGCGTACTATGCATTAAGAAGTATTTAAATGGTGTGTATGCTGAAAAATTAGATAGATATCTGAAGATATGGGGGTGGAGAAAAAGTAGCTTCCACAATAAATTATCATTAATATCGGGTCGTTGCTTGTAAAATTTCATGTGTTGAAATTAGCTAACAAAAAATATTTACTATTTAAGACTATTAAACTATACAAAAGTCGAAAGCTAAAATGATAACTTTAATCAAGTAATTAAATAAATATTAGGAAATAGCAGGAAGGAATAATGATGTGGACATGCCTTTGCAATGGATGCATCTAATGGAATAGAATTGAACTAAATCTCTTAGCTGGTCTCCATAGCATAGAAGCCTTGCGTATAAACTGTATCATGTACATATCAAAATGTTATTAATAATTAAAGATAATAATATAATAATAGTAATAATAATAACAATAATAATAATATTAATATTATAATTATATCATTTTTGTTTTACAATGCTGTAAATATAGCTATATATATATAAACATATATGTATAGTGTATCGAAAATAATAACAAAAATTACAGTTTCATCCCTGTTTAATCCATGGTTAACTTAATTCAAACAGCTCCATGACGCGTAACTGAAATATGAACGGCATTTCTTAATATTCTAAAATTGTCGTCTGAATAATAATCAGCACAATGAGAGTTATTCAAGAGATGTTTGAGAAAAGTAAATTATTTTAAAACCCTGGTTCAAACCACTGAGGATGAGGGTTGCTTTTTGGCATTTATGTAGAGCAGGTTATATTTAGCAATACTTGTCATGTTGTACACTTGGCTATTTATTTAAAGGATGAACTTGCTTATAAAATGCTCAATATACAAATATGAATGCATGTCAAATCTTCCACCAGTTCTTAAGAAGTGGGAGAAGTAAATGATAAGAACCAACAATCACCCACAGTTCAAAATTTCAAATCATCACTTTCACACATTACAAAAGCATGTAGTATCTTACAAAGAAAGTCTAACTTTAAAAGCAATAAAATTGTTATGAAACATATTATATTAAGTGGATTGTGTGTATTTTGCACAGCATTTAAAGAAACAGACTACCTGTTATCAGTTTTATCTTAAATTTTTGGTCTTTCGGCGACAAATGAGAAATTCATATTTCGAAACAAGTTCTCACTTTTATGTTTTATACAATACAGCGTTGCGTATACATAACATGTCTTGGAACGTCCACAATGCATCTTAACACATTAATAACCAAATTTTGCTAACGGTTTTGAAAAAAATAAAAGATTTAGGCTAGCATTCTATTTCCAAGTTAGCAGTTTTTGCGAAACAATCTGTCACGCAAAATAAACAGTCCATGCGACATACTCGCAAAGCGGCAAATCAGCTTCTAAAGGCGCATCTCCACTAGACGATTTTTGTGACGATCGTCTTAAATTTTCGCGACGACACATGCGCAGAGGCAAAAAGCTTTTCGTTCGGACGAAATTTTTGACGATTTTGATTCTGACGAAAAGTTTAAACTGTTTTAACTTTTCGTCAAGCGCTTTACGATCGTCAAAATTTTAGCCAATCAAATACCAGAGATGAGCAAACACTGCACATGGCCAACCTAGCAGTTCATATTAATGATTTCAACATGGCTACTAGTAACGAAGAAACAACAGAAGTTGTCAGGTCCAATAGGTTCTCTCATTTTCGTTGAAACTTTCTTTATGTCGGGTCCTATCAACTTTAGCAAACTTTCATATGTCTTTGGAAACATACGAAAGTATCTAAAGAATATTTCATGGTCGTGGAGTCGCATATCATTTATCAATAAGTTATATTCTCCTTTCACATTTCTCTCTTCGTACAGCTTTCTTATCCAAAATCGACGTTTCCTTTTTCTTGTTTTGGTGTTCTCCCTGAGCATTTTTTGGTGAAGATTGTAAAGAAATAAATATCTTCTACGAAGCAGGAAATATAGAATATATCTTTTATTTATAGACGCCATTTTGTTTATTGGAAAACACCGCGAAATAATCGTCTAGTGGAGATGACTAACAAAATCGTCCTATAATTCGTGTTCGAAATATTGTCGCGAAAATTTAAGACGATCGTCACAAAAATCGTCTAGTGGAGATGCGCCTTAAGTGACTTCAGCAAAACTAGGCTTGTGTATATTGTGAGTTAGCCTTCCAGTTGTTGTAGAGTTTACTGTTCTTACCTCATAAACCATATATTTCCATATTACATGAAGTGGGCTCTATACTTTATAATTATGGAGAACGCATAAGAAACTCTGATTGGGAAAGTGATGAAGAGATGAGACATGATCTTGAAAAATATGTGCAGCGAAATTTAAAACGAAAAGAGATACTAGACTTTATGTCTGCAGATTATCCCATGTATGCATGGAGCATTCGCACTTTAAGTCGCAGGCTTCAACATTTTAATATTAAATACACATACTACGAAATTGCATTGGAAGACGCTAAAACAGCTGTCAAAAAGGAATTGAACGGTCCTGGCGTTCTTCTAGGTTATCGAGCAATGTAGCAAAAGATAAGAGAGGTGCATGGACTCAATGTTTCACTCGACTTAGTTTACGCTGTAATGGGAGAAGCTGACCCAGAAGGACTGCAATCACGAGGTGTAATTGGAAAACCGAAACAACCACGTAGAACAAACGCGTTTGTTAGTCGAATAAGTCAGCAATCTTATTTTATTTGTGTTGCGATAAGTAAAATATCAATTGCTTTGTTTCAGGATATTCCCAGTATTTCTTTAAAACTATGCGGCTTTTTTGTAATGAAAATTTACATCATCTTAAGCTTTATTCTAAAAACCAGTATTGTGTTTCTACCACTTGATAAGTGGTGTGAGGAACAAGCTAAAAGAAATTTCTGTGCACAACAGTTTGCACTATGTGAGTGAAAAGTTTGTTGTAAATATCACCATGCAAAGTGATTTTCAAAGTTTAAAGGAGGGGGGCATTTGAGGGTGGACAACAAAGTTTTATTGGGGCATGTATCTCCCCTTACCAATGCCACGTCTGAAAACTGCTAGTTTGAACCTTCATTTTATTAAATTATAACAGGGATCAAACTCTACAATGTCCTTGGATGGGCATGATAAGCTTTGGGGCTATCAGAAATCCATGTTTTCTTTGTGCATCAATGGAGGGCTGTATTAGAATTATAATGTTTAAGTAACCATTTTAATATAACATAACCAAACACAACGTGCAGTGCAATAGAACAGAATAAGAATACTAATGAGATAGGATGTCAACAAGACAAAGAACTTAATATAAACATAAGAGTTAGTGCCAAAGTCCATGATCAATTATCCAATCATGTATCATCATTATAGATATGAATTTCCGGTATCATATTACTCTAATAATACGTTTATATCCCAATAGGCTGGATGTATACAGTGGCAGGGTTAACTTTGTGAAAGTGTGGACAACTAACAATAACCCATTGGTTATTGGACGATTCTATTTTGAATATCTGTTTAAGGCTAGGTGTAAGATATTTTGAATTTCAATTTTAAATTGTCCACTTTTTTATTCTATTTTACTCTATTTTACTTCATCTTTATCACACACATAAAAGTTATTCTTCATCCCATTTCTTTCTTTTGCCTTTAACTTCATAGCAACTACACTAATGCATCCCATGGGACTCCTGAGTCACCAGAAATAGACCAAGTGTGGATTGTTGTAAGATGAAGAAATGCTAAACTAAAATTTAACATGCACAAAGTCGTAAGCTTTACTTGAATAAAAAGTACAATCTTAGCAGCAAGTCTTATCTTTATGTTATACAAAGCAGTTTTATATGTAGGTTTTGATGTATACATAAACTAGTTTACTGTACAATGCATGAGCAGCATTTATAAGAGTGGCAGCATGAAGCAAACCCTCCCCCATTATCTTTGTTTACAGTCTGGCAATAGTGTTATTCAATATTGTTGACAATGCATATGATAGTACAACTCTATTCGTAACATTTTATCACATTTTTAGAAAAACAAGTCCTACTCTATTTGGGGGTAAACACGATTCATAGTAGGGGGTTCGTTTGATACAGGATATGCCTTCCCAAATATACATTTCAAAATGAATTGTAATCTTTGCAGCATAAACAGTGTCTAAAAAAAAATTAAGTAAACAAGAAAAATGTATGGACAAACAACTCATAGAAAAAAACTTAGTACTAAAAAAATAGGTGTTATCACACCTCAAGTATAGTAAAACATAGGAAAATCAACACTTTGAATTTTGAACGACAAATGATAATTGATAAACCGATATCATAATTTTCTTGCACAACTTCGGCATCTGTATACCACATAAGTGTTTGCAGCATTTTTATTGGTGAAATATTAAAAACGAGTTTGTAATAATAGTTTTTATAGAAAAAATTGGTGATCCAATATCAGGATTTTACATAATGCGGTCAAACTTTCACTGATATAATAAAAGTTCAATAAAAAAAAATATTCTTTATAATCGTAGATGAAAGCTGGTTAAAAATCCGGAGGGAAGGAAAAGTTTTTAAATCACGAGCCTGTCGCCTTCTGCTGACATTTTCAATTAAAATGGTCCATATAAGGTACGGCGGCTTTCAAAATAATAAGATAATAACAATAGCTGACGTAGGTATATATTAGTGGTATAATATATGCATGTTTTAGCTGGTTATAAATTAAGTAACTTTGGAGAAATAAAAGGGGGAAAGTCACTTCTCGAGTTATGAAATTATCCATTTGAAAATATGGTGGCAACGATTAAGTAGAAAGCCAAGAAAGAGTTGACAAGAGGTAAAGACAGGATCCAAGATCAGGAGATTCCACAGAGTGAGCATCACGTGAAAGAGTGATGCAATTGAAACCACCGTTACAGTTAGTTGGAAAGAAGAAATAGAATTGTGCATGGATTTGTCTATGGATGGCAAAAGCTAACAAATGAAGATAAAGGTATTTCTTTATCTTATAGGGAGCAAAGTGCGTGAAATCTTTGAGACTATGCAGTTTGAAACGCCCACCGAAGAAAGAACTTTAGTGCAAATAACTGCTGCATTTGATAGTTATTGCAACCCAAAAAGAAATAAGACGGTTAAAAGATACAGATTCTTCTCTAGACTACAAGGAATAAACGAATCCTTTGAACAATTTTAACCGATTTGAAGCTTAGGTCTTCATCTAAAATGATTCCCAGAAGCTTCTGGTGGGAAACCTGCTCTAACATATTGCCATTAATATGAACACAC